CCACATAAGCTTTTTTTCCCCGACAAACTTACAACCCCAGGTTTGGGAGAAGCTGTTTCAAAATTAGGGATGACTAAGCGCAGATAACCATTGTGTAAAAAAAAGAGAAAAAAAACACACACCCTGAGATACATAGCGGGCGTTTTTGTACGGAATACACCAAAACAAGATACTTTTATCCAAGTGTTGTGTTGTTTTAATAGCATTCACGAAAAATGTCATAAAATAACAAAGATTACTGGTATTCCTGCGTTGTTCTTTTTATTCTGAGCGTAAAATGCTCTTGCTCGTATTAATAGGTTATAGATGCATTTTGCATATAAAGAAATTTGATTAAAGTTTCATGGCTTTAGAATAATGAGGCATAACTCATTAGGTTAGGCTTTCCAGTCTAACCTATAAATCAAGCATGAAGCCATCCAACGGACAATGTTTAAAACTTTTTATACACATGAACAATAAGAGTAGGTAAACAAGCTGATGAAGGATATTTTATTGTATACCCTTAGGGGGAGGCGATATTAACTACCTTACTTCCTTTCAACACCTAATCTTATTTCTCCCAATTAATTAACAATTTCAATAAGTTTGAATAAATATTTTCGATTAAAATTAATAATAATAACAAATGTCTAAAGCGTTTTGGTCAAATGTTTTTTGTTTTTTTTTATCTTAATAAACTATATTTCGAACGTATTTAACTTATAAGTTAAAACATAATACACGTTCTTCTGCTATCGACCAATTCAGATGCATTTGTATTAAGGTGCATGTTTATATTGGGCAGAAACTTATGTAGGAAATTGGTTGCAGTTTTTAACGCTTTAGCTAATATCTTGTAAAATATAGACTATAGCATAAACTGGACAAAGCTCAGTTCAAAATATCATGGCATACGATTACAAGTTTATCCATACGTTATGGAATAAAACTAGCTTCGTTTCAAATCATTTCTGTTTTAGAGAATTGAAAGAGTACGAAGTTCCGAACATCTTTGCATTAATAAGAGACCATTGTTTATTTAGCTATCTATCTAACGTTTCGCGCAATACTCGTGTTCTGATAGCTAAACTTTGGACCAGTTGAACGATATTGTTTGACGAATAAAGTATATTGGTTTTCATATTGAACAGTAGTAAAATCTTTAGGCATAACAGAATGTGGTTGAACTCCGAGGTCTTCTTGAAGAATATTATAAACACACTTAACAGAGAAAAGATACTATAGCGTTATATGAAAAAGAGAGAGTAAAAAGATGCAGTGATCATTGAATGCATGAAACGTAATTATTTAATTGATTAAGGAATAGTGAGCATGTTTATGATCTACATCAAAGACGTAAAACGTGAAGACCCCCTTATCATCTTATATAATTAGTATTACATGCGTATATGTTGTGCTTAATCTCTAGAAGGAAAAGTACCGAATCCCTGTTGATGGGTTGGGGGGGGGGGTTCAAAGATAACGGTTTAAATGCTAAAGATCATATTGTTGTGAATGGGGTTCAAGAAAGCAATAGAGTTGAACCATTTCAATGAAATATGAATTCACAATACAACTGTGGCAATCTTAAAATTGTAGTTCATTCCTTTAGAATTAGTGAAAAAATTCAAAGGAATTCCGGATCTCAAATCCGGGAGACCTGACAGAAATTAAGAACTGTATATGTATTTGAGTATACTATATTTCAGTTATAGTAAATGATATTTAAATAAAAGACATTTATAGTTTCGGACGCCTCATTTAGGAATTTCAACAACGTCTAAATACTCATGTTGTTGGTTCTTATATCTTAAATTTCCAGTTGCGGATTTACAAGTCTAGCAAGATAACTATAAGCATATCAACATATCTTGTTAACTTAGGAACTTAGATCGTACAATTAATCATCATTTTTCTTTTGAATATCTACAAACTAGTTAAGTAATGTAGAATTTTCAAAGATCTATTGAAACCCACCACAGAACGTTGCAGTGTTTTCAGCACATAGCTACAGACTGGCATACCTGTTCTCTGGCCACCGCGGGAAATCTAACCTCGTATTTTAGCGGTGTAACTCTATAAACGTACCGCTGACCCACCTGGGGACAAGTTCACAGACTAAAACCTTATACTTATTCCCATCTCCCTAAGTAGTAATATGGTTGTGACTGGTAGTATTGTGAATTATTGACTCATTGAAATACGGAACTTGTAGTTTGACTAAACTGTGTATTTGAGTAAAAAGAAAAGCTTTCAACTTCAGAAAAAAATTCTGATACCAATACTTCGACATATGTTTTCGTCAGTAAACAATACAATGTATCAAGATTATTACCTTAGTGGAAATATTGGAAGTAAAATGTTAGTTTTTGTCCTAAAGTTGAGAGTCATTTCGTTTATATCAAATATGCCTAACAACGTACTTCAGTTAACTGTTCACTGGTTAAAAAATACTAAGAATTTTGTATTGTTTAACAGTCTATAGTTAACTACTCAAAAATCGTAATTTCCTGTGAATTTTGATCAACTGAATGCGGTTAAAATCAAGAGTTAATCCCACACCATTATAAATAGAGATGATATTTGCCTCCCAGTGCCATAGCGGTATGTCTGCGGACTAACAACGCTAGAATCCGGGTTTCGATACCCGTGGTGGTGAGAGCACAGATAGCCCATTGTGTAGCTTTGTGCTTAATTACAGAGATGATATTTATAAATTCATTATCTGTGAACTTTAGAAATTCCTTTACTCACACTCCTTTGAATAAGTACTAGCGTAATAATATATTAAACAGAAACACTTTAGAATCATATTTTGTTCTGTCTTAAACCTTAATGGCTTAGAACAGTCACATGAGTAAGTTATCTAACAAATCACAGAAATATACTATGTTAATACAAGCCGTTTGTAAATCTTTCCCGCTTTTTAACATTGCATGCCCGAAAGCAAGTCATTAAAGAAGACAATGGGAAGATTTAATACGCACGAGTACACACTATAGAGGAGCCACTCTCTCGCGCCATATTCCTTCTAAGGGAGACGTTTGCTGGCACGAGAGGAGCAACGTCACGAACCAACGAAGAGGAAATATTTGGTTAACTGACGTCAAGTGCAGGAATCACGTGCCTTGTTTCTAAGCCGACATTGTCTCTTGAAAACGACAAAACGGATTTGGTTGAGGTTATTGAGCCAAAACATTGCCATGACTGTTGTTAAACTTGTATTTCATATAAATAGGTACACATCTTTACAAAAGTTTTTTTTTTAATCTTTTGTTTCCTTACAGTTTTCAAACGTACTAAGGAGAAAGGTGTTTTACAGGGGATTGCTAATCTTAAAAGAACGACAATAAATGTAGAGATTTTAATACAAGTGATCACGCTCAGACACCTTCAAACTGAGAAATATTTTCGTTTTTGTCGCTGATTTCTTAGCATGTAATAATGAATGTCAACAGAACAGAAAACTATTTTCCTAAACAAATAAGTCTTATTCTGAAACACATGAGTAGAATCTTCTTGGAACAAAGAATTTTATGATATCATTACTTGCAGAAATCTGGCACCTACCCATCATTGGAGTTCACAGTAACAGTTCCTCGTGTTGTTAGAAAGAGGGATTTTTTTCTTCTTGTTACAGATACATTCGAGTTATTGTTATAGAGACTTATGAACATGACTTATTTTTGCTTAGTATGTGTTATATATTGAGTTAAGTTTAAGTTTAGAACTGCTTTTAACCGCAACGTTTTCTACTACTGAAAGTTAAAATGATATTTCATTGTTAAAGAAAATACAATATATGATTATAAACACACAGAAATACATAACGTGGATGCTATCATTGAAAGAACGAAATAGAGATCGAAAATAAATTCTTAACATTTTATTAGGTTCTTTTTAGGCATAATGTATGTAGAATAACAGGTCAATAAAATTGTCAGTAAATCTCTTTAATTATTGTATGGATTTGATGTAAAAATGTAATATTTTTGTATAAAATAACTGTTCATACCCTATCGACTAGTACTTATTTAGTTGCGATGTTGTTACCATTCTAATTTGAAATATTTGACAACTTTAACGGAAAGAACTCTATTACACAGTACGTTGTGCTGCTATTAATTATCGTTATTAATACATAAAGGCGACATCTCCTACTGGTCCTATTTATAAATCATTTGTTAATCTATGAATTCTGTGAATTAGCTGGTATCCAGTAGTTAAACATTTTTAGAACATGGCAGCGCATTCCGTATTGATATGATCAATGTAAAAGTCACTACACTTAACCTATCATTTTCCGTTTGATGAAAAATCTACGTGTAACTACATATAGCTAAATCTTAATTAACGAAACCCAGATGCACGAATATAATCACAATATATGTATGAGACTACACTGTGATTTTACCCACTTTGTCTCGTGTAGTTTAATTATCTTTTCTTCCAAAGATCCATAAACAAGCACTACAGTAAACTATACTTTAACGAAATGTAAATTAGGATTTTGGCTTTAAACACACAGGTAGAGATGTCGCAATGCTAAATTAATCAAATAGAACTAAGATAGAAAAATAATGTCGTTTTACGTTACAGCAATCAAAGTTGACTACAGACGAAAAGATAGGTAATTAACTTTTTATTTAAGAAAAATAAGGACACTTGGTTTAATTCATCATTTCTTACATATTACTTTTAGCGTTCATTTATAATCCGGAATCAGAGGTTATATTACTTAATACTTACTTTAATAGATGGCAAAAATTCGCCTTAGTTTGTTTCTGATAAGATGTTCACTTATTTTACTATTTTTATGAACAGCTTTATTCATCTCCAGTTTTTGTAGTACTTTGTGTGTGTCAGATATAAATCAACCACTGAAGTTATTATAGTAACTTATTACATTTATCTGTATCAAAACATAGGTTAGCTACGACCTTGCTTGTTAAATATTTTTTGTATTGACTTTATACTTTCTTTAAGACGCCCTCTATCATTAATATTACTTAATTTACCTGCTAATCTCAGGGCTGACATCCGTTGAAATTCGGGCTCCTCCAACCATTTGTACATCCTACGGAAGGTCTCCCTGCCGGACTTCAACTTGCTCCAAGGCTTGGGATTCCGCAGCAGGTCGGAGAGGGTTCCTTGAGATCGGCACAGCACCCTCTGGGCGAAGATGGCCTGTGGAATGCTGTATCGTTTCAGTTCTGCACTTATTCGTTGGGCCAGATCTTTTGTGTTGATCTCCTCCACTTCGTCAGCTACTACCCCCTTAGAATTGTTAGGAGTCTGACCTCCTGAGCTCTTGATGGAAACCGCGGCAGGGGCGCCAGTTACGGCAGAACAAATAGAGTTAACACCCATGTTGTGAACTGAGACTGGACTCAGACTGACCATGGGCTGAGAAAAAGAAGAAATTCCTAAACTGACGTTAGGCACAGATGTTTGTGCGGTCAAGGCCGCTATGTTGACTGGTTTAATATCTTGGTGCTCAGGTGGTGTCACAGGCGCTTGCAGGTGGACAGATGGGGGTGTATGGGTGGAATTCAGTCCGTTCAACGTAGGCATCATGCTTGTGGGAGAATGGAGGCTTACAGTGGGGCTTTGAGGAAACCCCAGACCACGTGATAAGTCTCGGTGATGTGCATAGGAGTCATATGTATTCGGAGAAATAGCTTTCTCGGGGGAATGCAAGCCGTTCTGGAGGTATGGGGGAGAGGGAATACCAGTTTGTTGGGCCATAGTTCCAAGTCCATTAGTGGTCATCATAGACATAGCAGATGGATGAGCTGCCCCAAGTGTAGGACCCATGTTCATAGGCGCCATACCACCCACATGACTAAGCTTATCATATTGATAACTATTCATACTCATACCCAAAGGATTATTTTGCATCAGAGTAAAACTACCGCTAACGTTACCATGATGCCCATAGTGACTAAACTTGTCAGACATGGTGGAGATTGGTGGCAAGGGCTGCAGAGGGGTGAGAGTAGCATAACTATTTGCTACCGAAAGTCCAGGAGACATACGACAATTCAAGCTTTGATAGCCGGGCTCATTTAGACCCCGAAAGTCCGAGGCGTCAATCATTGTAGAGGATACTGTTTCTTCGTCTGAGTCTGAACGTATAATGTCCGAAGTGATCTCGTGGCCCGGAAGCAGCTCGGGCGGGTCTGTCACGGGCTCGACACTGGTTACACTGCCGACCGAGTCGACAGCTTCCACTGACTCCACTGAGCAGACCACCGCTACAGCTGTCTCACTAACGCTCCTGATTTGTTGTTCACCTAACTCCCCCCTGTTTTCCATGATTTGCGCGTTTTAATGACAATCCAAATTCATTGAACGCTTCTATGACACTCCTAGCTTTGCCTTAGATGGATTTAACGATCGGTGATTAGATTTTTGGGCGTAGTTACAGCCTGGGAATGGGCAAGCTGCAAGCTAACCTGTACTTTGCCGCCATGTTTACACTCTGCTCACTGCGCACCACCATTGGCGCAATTTTTGAGACATATAGCGCACGCGCGCAGTTGCTATTATCCGTTTTTGTTCATCTGCTTTTGTTTCACGGCCAAGCGAGAGCGGGCATTCAATGTGTACTGCGCCTGAATGTCTCATTTTTCACTGTTGGAAAGAACAGGAAATGCTGTAAAATGTCCCAAGCATAAGCGAGTGTCCTTTCCAATTGTAATAATCTCTAACGTTCTTCAATGTTTAACAACTGACATATCTGCACGGAGATTTTCGCACGTGCTACTGACACAAGCATTCCGAAGCAGACGAATTTCCAATATCTCAGAACGTAAAATCGATATTAATTATCCTCTTCTAAAGATCTTGGTTGTTTGAAGATCATTCTTTACCTGACCACGGCCACGTGCACATCGTCCGTATCACCCCACGAGTTTAACCTCATTCATTCCCTGTCGATCTGTTCAGAAAGACGTTTGGTATGCGTACACTTATATTCTTGGATAAATATATTAAGGAAAGAAACACTAACAAAAAAAGAGGATATCTCATTCACGGCCACTGGCCACTTTAAATAAAGTCCTCTAGAAAGAAAGAAGAACACATTTTCTTAGACATTCATGTTACGATGTTAACGTTATGGTCAGAAGAAATAGACCAACTATTAGTCAGTCAACTAATAGCAAGAACATATACTATCAACATCTAGAATCAATCAAATGTGGTCTCCGCAATATAGATAAAGGAAGGTGAGTATACTGTAGTCCGTAATTTGAACACACATTCAAATAATTTGAAGTGTCTAAAACACTCGCTTCATTATAATTTCAGATTGGGCAAAACGCGGAAAAAAAATGAGTCCGTTGTAGTTAATGAAATTTCTAATATTTACTTACAAATAACCTCTAATGAGCTTATGAATTCGTGCAATAACCAAGAGATAAAAAGTTGGAAAGAAACAAGTTATAGAAACGGGCGAACATAACAATTACTGAAATGAAATAGTCTGTACAAACATTATGCTCCAGATATACCATGATTACTTAGTAGAGAATAGAGTAAATGATTATATATGCAAACACTAAACGTTAAAAAATGACGCTCGAACAACTTTTGTTTCTATTTATATTAAATATTAAGTAAGGGTTCAAGTGATGCATTTTGGAATTCCATTTTATGGAGATATTTTCGTTTTATGTTATTCAAACTCACACGTTTATTCCATCAAAACTATTTCTTATTGAGAATATAAAACACTTTACACAACGATCGAGGAAATATATGGATATTTCCCGAAAAATAAAGAGGTTCTAGGAAATTTGCGTGCAAAATGTTTCTTTGGCCACAGAGTAATCGGTTGTTGCTTCCGGTACCTCCCTGATACATTAAAGTGAACTTTCTTTTAAGACGCTTATAGACCTTTGTTTATAAACATGAATAGGTGCTGTGTTTGTCTGAATAAACCATACAACTACAGATTTATTGACTTTCTAATATGAAATGCCAAATAAATATAAAGCTTTGAAAGTTTGGTCTTGAAAACTGTATATGAGCTAAACCTGAAAACAACGATTATGTCGCTGTAGGTCGTCTAGTGATATACACATAGTCTACAATTTAACAGTGAAGAAATATGTTATCTTCTAAGACAACCTTTCAACTATCTAAACGCCCCTACAGATAGATATGTTTTGTATTCAGCAGCTTTAATCTTTTATTTGTGTCCAGACTAATAGCTGTTCTTACAAGTCACTCGAAAGTGATATCCTCAACTTTACAAATTTAAAAAGTTCGGGATTAAACTACTTCTCTCCTTTTTTGAAACCGAATTGGTCCTCCTTGGATAAATTTCGTTTGCTATTAATTTGAACGGTTATGCCATATACATCCTAAGTCAAAATTAACGAAAGGTTTGTTTGAACTTAAGGATAAAGCTACACGATGGGCTATCTGTGCTCTGCCCACCGCGGGTATCGAAACCCAGTTTCTAGCGTCGTAAATCTGCAGACATATTGCTGTACCACTGTGCCAACGAAAGAACACAAGGAATTAAATTTTGAACTTAAATTGATGAAACAAGAGTACAGAGTATTAAACAAAATCGTGATTTGTACTACTTTTATCTATAGCTAATTATATGGTTTACAACGTACTTTTTTTATAGTTGCAAACTAAACTGATGAAAATTACTTTAGAACTTGTCGGTGGCGTTAATGACGATTTACTCACGATTCATTCTATCTTTCTATACATAATTACACGCATTCGTTCAAGGCGTGTTTAGTTTTCATAGCCAAGAATAGCCTTCGAGGTCATCCGGTGGGATAGCGGTAAGTCTAAGGACTTACAACGCTAGAATCCGAGGTTCGATTCTCCGCGGTGGACATAGCAGATAGCCCAATATGGCTTTGCTCTAAAACAAACAGACGTTCGTATGTTTGCTCTGGTACCAGTCATATAACAAACTTATTCTATATCAGTATCAACTTTACTTTCCTCGGAAAACATAATAATCACATATATCAGTTTCAACTTTCCTTTCCTCGGAAAACATAATAATCACATATATCAGTTTCAACTTTCCTTTCCTCGAGAAAACATAATCACATATACCAGTTTCAACTGTACTTTCCTCGGGAAAACATAATCACATATACCAGTTTCAACTTTACTTTCCTCGGGAAAACAGAATCACATATACCAGTTTCAACTTTACTTTCCTCGGAAAACATAATCACATATATCAGTTTCAACTTTACTTTTTTCGGAAAACATAATCACATATATCAGTTTCAAATTTGCTTTCCTCGGAAAACATAATCACACTAAAAATATTATTGAAAACATTTTTCATTTCCCACACAGTTCTAGTCCTCACTATTAAAAATAAGTCACAGTAACTTTGTTTTGCATCAGAAAGTACAGCTAATAAAAAGCAAGCCTAAGAATACCGAGATTTTGAGACAATTGACCATTTCACCATAGATCGCTGTGGCATAAATTATTTTTTGAGTGAAATCATTTTAATTTATGTCCTGTAATGAAGTTTTTAAGATGGTAGTTAACACCAAAGTATTGTTGAACATTGTTTAACTACGATTGTATAGATACCGAGTTTCAGTACGTGACGTGTGAGACACCAATATGAAAACAATTCCGGATTTTTTATTCGCAATGACTGCCTATCATTGTGTCACTCTCCTAGTAGCTTTGCGGTAAGCTTGAGGGCTTATACGCTAAAAACCAATAATGGGCAAAGCGCAGATAGCTCATTGGGTAGATTTGCGCTTAATCACAAAAACAAACGTGATCGACAATTTTATTACCCCGTAAAGTTATGCCGTATTTAAAAAGGTTTTAAATAACTTAGACAAATTAAAAATCATAACATAAAATAAAATCATTCTCATCAAGTACTATTTTATTTTGCCCCCTCTTTCTCGATTGCTAAATATACAGCCCCATGGCTCGACAATAATTCTTGGCCTATAACGCCAAAATCTGGTTTCGATACTCGAAATGGGCAGAGTACAAATAGCTCTTTGAGTAGCTTTGTGCTTAACAACAACAACATATATTTTAAATAATAAATTCCTTGCCTTTGCTCTTATACTTTAAGGTTTTTGTGAGAAGACAATAATTAATAAGTGAGGTATTCGTTGTACTGAACAAAATATTCTCTGCTCTTTCAGATTAGAAAATAACACCTTTAATCTGCCTTGGGGTAAAACAATGCACCATATTGAGGATGCACAGGTTCTAAAAAATGAAATCAACATAATACGTCAATATAGTAAAATGTACTTGCAACACAGCACCTTATGAGTGGGGACTTCAAAGCCGAATAATAAGTTCTATTATATAGACTTTCAAATAAAACAATACTTTTAAAAATCACTACCGTACTTGTTTCTTAACAAGTAGAATAATTGGAAAGTTTGTTTGGTTCAAAATTTCGCACAAAAACTGGGCATGGCTCTCCCTAATTTTGAACTGACAGACTAGATGGAAGACAGCTAGTCAACAGCAACCACTAATTTCGCACAAAAACTGGGCATGGCTCTCCCTAATTTTAAACTGATAGACTAGATGGAAGACAGCTAGTCAACAGCAACCACTGCCAACTTTTTGGATAACTTTGTTTGATAAAATAGTGTCATGTGACCGTCACTCTTATAGACATCCATGGTCCCAAAAAGTGTTGCACATTTTTGCACCGACGAGTTGCACAACATGAATCCATCGGATGCACAATCTGGCACGTTAATCACTAGGCCAATGATGTTAAAAAGATTCGCTGTATAATATCGAATAATAAATTAGGCGCGATTTCATAATATTTTTCACACACCTAAAATCATTTAGGTTATTATTTGGTGAATTAAGAAGGACTCAAAAACTCCGTAAATTTTATATACGCATCGCCATTATAAGAGGCCTAACTGTATTTCTTTGGTTTGCTGAGCCAAAATGTGCTGCTTAGCCCTGAATAAGAGAAACTGCAGTCCACGGCAGAGGGTATAGCCAATCAAAAATGCATTAAGCCTCTACGTTACTGATGATATTTTGAATTTTACCTTTGGAGAAAAAGAAACCTGTAACATATATAATCATTAAACAGTTGTTCTGCTGTACAATATCGAATAATAAATTTGGCTCAATGCCATAATATCCTTCACACTCCTAAATTAATTTAGGTTACCATCTGTCGAATTAAAAGGGGCTCAAAAACCCCATAAACCTTAAAAACGATAAATTGTTTCTTGTCGGAATATAAGAATTTAGAATGTCAATCAACTTAATCGTTCAAACTCAAGGATATGTTACATTTCCGGGTTTCAAAAATCGGGCTGCTTTTTGTTTGTCCTGAATTTTGCCCAAAGCTACTCAAGTGATATCTGCACTAGACGTCCCTAAGTTCGAAGAGATAGACTAAAGAGAACGCAGCTAGTCAACACCACCAAT